CTATATAAATAAAGGTGACTTGACTTGAAAGGTAGAAACCCTTCGACATAGGAGTTTTATTTGTAAATTACAAGGTTGCTTACTAAATGTAAACATTATTGTGACAGTTGCTGTTTTATTCAATACTACCATCAACAGGGAATAAAATGCAAAGAATACATTTAAAAATTTAGTTTAAAAATTAAAAGTTTTCTTGTAAGATGTTTAAATATTGCTGGCCCACTTTGGCTGAATGTGCCAGATAAAGTGGGCCAGAGGAATTCAGGTAAAGTGGGCCAACCTTTAACCTTTAGTAATTATACCCAAATTCATTAAATGAGTCGACTTTCACTGGTAATTTTATTGTTGACATTTATAATTGACTTTTTCAGAAAACAGAAATGAGACTGCAGTCAGAGATGGAAGAAAGGAAAGAGAATAGAAGGAAAGATCCTTGAGGCTATGTAATACAGTGCTAAGAATATCGAGAAGAAACCCAAAACTTATAACCTCCATTGTGCATATTGAATTCATTCAGTCGTGTCTGACAATCACTAAACCATGAAAACACACCTCATTCTTATACAAGTTTATTTTCATTAAAATTCTTAATTTTCTATTATAAAAAAACTAAACCGGTGCAAGTCTGGAAATGCAAATATTTTTCCATACTTTTCCAAAAACTCACTTCATTTTGATACACTTTTCAGAAGTTATTTTGCTTTTCAAGTATCTTGATTTAAGAATTGTGCTGGAAAACAAGACAAAAGTACCGAGCAAGAAAGTCATTTTTTGCAGTGTAGTCTGTTTTTCTGTATTTGCAGGTGAAATGGTGCGTGTTTTTCTCAGGTTCACCTGTATTTGTGAATCAGTTGTAAGAAAACGGACCGGAGAAGAAAGTGCATAAAAAGTGTTTTATTATCATTATTAATATAATTATGTATCACATCCACCCAATGAAAAAAAATGAATCAGAGACATCCGATCAAAAACATAGTAAATAAACATCACGTGAGGGTTAGAAGAGAGCAAAATACTGTCACACACACACAGGTTCTGCGATTGGTTTCTGATGATTATTGCTCCCTAATGTCCCTCCTCAAGAAGGAAGAGTAGCTCACGGCCAATCAGGGCTCAGGAACACCTCGTGAACTCTGACCCCTGCGTCTGGAATGCCACATGACAGAGATTCTGGTCACATATATGTGTGTGTGTGTGTGTGTGTGAGAGAGAGAGAGAGAGAGACTGTGTGTGTGTCTGTGTGGAAGGTCAAGTGCTCGATGCCTGTCTTTCCACACAGTTTCCAGCGGAGAGAAGCGAGAGAAAACAGAGGAAGAGCGAGAGAAAGACAGCGAGAGCGTTCCTGTTGGGTTTAGATTCTGAGAGTCCACTGTTTGACGCAGGCATCGTGGGACGTGGTGACGAGTGTGTTTGTGTTGAGCCAGGTCAGACCGCTGACGTGATGCAGCCGGTGGGCGTCTGCAGACACACACACACACAGTCACAGATCAGGAGCGGTTCTCACTGAGGCGTGCCGAGACGCTCGCGGTCATTACCTGGTATTTTGATCCTCTTGTCAGGATCGCTGACGGTCCACACATAGAGCATCATGTCCATGCCGCCAGTGGCGAAGTGCTCGTTATCAGGTGACCAGGACAGACAGACCACCTTCGCGTGATGACCGTAGAACTCGCTCTTCTCCTGGAACACATCCACATGAGTCAAACTAGAGCTGCACCATTCTGCATACTTTTCTTTTGTCTCATATGTGTCCCTGCAGCACAAAAGCAGTGTTAAGTCGCTGGGGTATATTTGTAGCAATAGCCAACAATACATTGTTTCAGCGTTCCCTGCGGACGTCTTCCGCCTGAAGTTAACACAGATTCATAACGCTATAATAACCCTGCCGGCTTGCTTTGAAATATACTGTAGCCTAAACGATTTGTGAAGGGCCTTCGCTGCAGAGCCCCGAAAATGAGTTTTCTAATCACGCTGAATGACTCAAAGACGCGGCGTGTGGGTTGAGAAAGACCTGCTGACGATGACGGCCGTGTGACATCATTAACGCAGGTGAGACAGACTGATGCTGCATCTCAATGTGCCTACTTATACTACGTAGTATGTACTCTTTTGGTGAAGAAAAAGTACACACTTTTGAGTGTGTAGTAGAAGAGCAGGCAAGCTTTGGGACATACTATGAATCATGTCACACAATTGCGTCTTTAACGGACCGCTCTGTCGCACCTGTTACACCGTCACTGTAAACTGGCCTGTCAATCATCTTGTCACAGTTAACATCCTCCACATTGCATTTAATTTACCTTCCTACCGTACTGGAGAGAAAAGAATTAGCTCGTGATCTGCCAGCTGCGGGTCTTTCATGAGGAGAACTCTGCTCATATTTTATGCATAATGATGCATTTAAAAGTTAAGACCGAACTGATGATTATAAAAGTTTACATTACTGTTGCAGATGAAATATAACACCGATAACATAAAATAAATATTTTTTTTACCAGGTTAAATGTTGATTATTAGTAACTCAAACCCCTTTTTGAAAACCTCTCTACCTAACCGTCGATCGCGCGCATCCGCCACGTTTGTAGTTTTTCTAACGTGTTTGTAGTTCTGGACCGAATCCTTCGCCAAAGCGCAATGGATTGTGGGCAATTTTAGCCATAGAGGAGAAACAATAATGTACAGTATGTGGAAAATAATGTTTTTTTTTTTACTTTAAACCGCATAAACACAATTTATTACACCGAATACACAAAATAATGTTCTGACCCCTTTAAAATCTGGTAGTTGTATCCGTTAACATTATTTAATGGACCTGAGCTAACATGTGCTAAGAATTAACAGTTGCATTTGTCTTCACTAACATTAGCAAAGATTAACAAATACTTTATGTATGTAGATTAATGAAACAAATGAGTTGCTCACTGTTTAATGTTAGTTAATGCATTCATTAATTTTAACTAACAGGTCATTATTATTACTTTCTTACTAATTAACATCTAAATGTATAAGTGCTGTTTTTTTTTTTCTTTGTGGTCTCCAGAATTCGAACATATGAACATGAGGCCATGTGGGACAAGGCTTTGGTTTCATACGACCTCCACTCCAACCTCCCAGAGGTCACACGACAGACCGGCATAGTAGAGGTTCGTTTTCTGCAAAATTATGAGAATGGTTGCAATTTATTTTGGATGCAATTAATCGCGATTAATCGTTTGACAGGAGTAGAATATATACATTTCTTCTAGTTATGTTAAGATGAAATATTAAATATTTCATCAGATAGAAATTGTGAGTAAAAATGCTTTTAAAATCTGAAAACTCCATAGACGTTTTTATAATTAATATATTTCTATAGTTAAGCCAAGCTCTAAGATATTTTATCAAATAGAAATTGTAAAAATAAAAGATACATTTAAAAGTCTTTATCCATAAAATCACTGATGACTATAAAGTCATGGACTGGTTAAAGAGAGCAGGAACCCTGGAGAACATTCAGCTCTTAAACGTTCTAGAATCATAAAATGCATTGTTTTAAAATTTGAATTATAATTATTTTAATTCTCTTGACATTCCTAGTTTATGCATATTAAGAAACACAACTCTGGTTATATCAGAGGAAGCGGAGGAATATCATTCTGAACAGTGAGGGAGTGTGAATCAAACAGCTGTTCATTACTAATGTAGGAGTTTATCTGAGATCTGAGAGTGAAAGGAGTTTACCGTGTATCCATCCGCGACGGTGAACACAGTGATGACCTTCTTCTCGTCCGTCACGGCCAGAAACGCTCCGTCCTGAGAGTACGACATGTCCGTCACAGGCCCCTGCACCTCCAGCACCTTCCCATCATCCTTCAGGGTGTTTCCCTGAACCGTGTACAGACGCACCTTCCCGTCCTGCAGACGCAGAGATCAGCACATCTTTAAAAGGTCACGCAGGTCAAAGTGGGCGGTCCCTGACAGTGATTATGCTAATAGTCCGGAGGCTGACTGGTGACTTACAGCTCCGCCCACAGCCACGGCTCCGCCCCCAGGGGGAACGGCTGCGGACTCGGGCTCGTATCCCAGAGAGTACAGCGTGAAGAGCTTCTTCTTGTCCTTCAGCAGCACCAGCTGCACAAAACAAACACTCAGTACTGCTGCTGGAATTACATAATTATGATAAATTAGTGCTATCAAACGATTAATCGCATGTGAGATAGAGAGAGTGTGTGTGTGT